ATGAAACAATCGCCTAGTACTGAAACGTTCCTCTTTGTGGTGGTGTTTCGTTCTCTCTGAGCTGTAGATGTTTTGGTTGTGAAGCTTTTATTGTTCTTCTGAACTACAACATCATCACCACAAACTTCAGATAGAAAAAGTGAAGTATTCGAATTTCTCTATGGGTATGATTCGTAGCTTGTTCTGTAGACCTTGATCTTGATTGGTTGCTGTTGATCTTAAATCTGTCATTGTTTGTACCTTTGTTTTGATACAATCAAAACCACTATCATCCATCTGAGCTAATAAAAAATCGTACCATGTGCTTATTAGTGGTGACTAGCTTCTTGAGGAAATTCTCAGAGTTCTATATAGTGAGAAGACATATGACCAGTGGAGTTCATCCCTGTTTGGGTGTAAGCAGTAATTACCGAAGACAAATAGATACGGTCGCGCAAAATATCTCGATTAGTCAGAGTTAGACAATAATACTGATAGATGCCGGCCCAGTGGTCCTTAGGACAGACGTTCGCACGCAAGATCGAAGGTCCTGGATTCGTAGATACGCATTGCCACTGATGAGTAGTCCCATACCAGGACGAAACGACCGTCTTTCAGTCCTCCCAGGTTTCTAATGGTGGTCTAACAGTGATCAGTTGCTTTATCCGGGCTGGAAACCGACAGTAACCTCAGAATGCTGGTTCCTATGATTAGTTGTACTCTTCTGTCATTCATTTTTGTTCATGGGAATTTAGGTTAACGTACATCACACATATATATATGTATTTCATAGATCTACCAAGCTTGATATTTAACTTGAAACATATCCAAGAATGCATTTATACACATTCAATTGTTATCATGATACATTGAAATGTGTGTAGTTGCTTCCATTTGTGAAAAATTTCATTTTTAATCAGAACAAAATAAAATGCAGTGTCCACTCCCCTCCAAAAAAATGACATCATCAAGTTACTACTGATCATATGCAATCATTACAAACTCTATCTCTTTATCTCTCGACAAAAAATAAAATTCATATCTTATTAAACCATTATTATTTTTATTGTAATCATCAATCAATCATTGTTAGACCACCATTAGAAACCTGGAAGCACTGGAAGACGGCCGTTTCATCCTGGTATGGGACTCATCAGTGGCAGTGCGCATCCACGACTCCTGCACCTCACATGACTGGAACCCGGGACCTTCGGTATTGTGCGCGAACGCCTAACCATTAGACCACTGGGTCAGCATCCAATGGTGTTAATGTCTAACTCTGATTGATCTACAGATTTTGCACGACCTTACCCATTTTTCTTTGGTAGTAGTTACTGCCTACACCCGACAGGGTTGAACTCCATTGGTTACAACATCTTCTCAACTAGAACTCTGAGAATTTCCTCACGAAGCTAGTCACTAGTGGATGCGCACTGCCACTGATGAGTAGTCCCATACACTAGGACGAAACGGCCATCTTTCAGTGCTTCCAGGTTTCTAATGGTGTTGTCTAACAATGATTAATTGATGATTTCAAATGTGTAAAAAAACACAAACCTCCAAAACTCTACCAGAAAATTTTATTATGGTATTTAAACTTACTTACTTACTTACTTACGCCTGTTACCCCCAATAGAGGAGCATAGGCCGCCCACCAGTTTTCTCCAACCAACTCTGTCCTTCGGCTTCCCTCTCCAATTCTGTCCAATGTTTGTTCATTCCTCTCATATCTTTCTCCATTTCACAGCGTAATGTGTTCCTTGGCCTTCCTCTTTTCCTTTTGCATTGAGGGTTCCTTGTGATGGCTTGTCTTGTGATGCAGTTATAGGTGCTTTTTGTAGTTTGTGTCCTATCCACCAACTCCACCACTTCTTTCTGATTTCCTCCTCCACTGGAATCTCCCATAGTTCGTTGTTGCTGATAGTGTCTGGTCAACGAATCCGAAGTATTTTGCGTAGACAACTGTTAATAAACACTTATTTAAACCAAAATTATAAAAACAAAAGATAATTCATTTTAAACAAATATTTCCCCGGCTAAAATGAGATTCTTTCTTATCAATAAATTAAAAAAAACATAAAAAATCTTTTTTACAAAAAAAAATAATAATTTCTTTCCATTTTAAAAAAAATGAAGAAACACTAACATTAAAACTATTTTTTTTTGAAAAAAAGAACATTGTTTTAATTTTTTTTCAATGTCTAATAACTATTATTGTACAATTGAAACATTGAATAGGTAGGTTTCATTCAATAATTTTTCAATGTTCAATGCCTCCTGGATTTACAACACTTCAAAATGCACAGCTGTTAGTATTCTCTTTCGTTTTTTAATTTTTCTGTTAGAAAAAATCAAACGAACGAACAGACATAATTTGTGTTTTAGTAAATCAGTGATAGAATGAAATTGCAAATATTTTCAGTAGATTAAAAGATATTGTTTTTTTAAATTACATTTATGTGAAGATTAGTGTGTTTTTACACACATTGAAATCATCTATCAATGATTGTTAGATCACCATCATTAGAAATGTGAAAATACTAGATGGACGTTTCGCCCTGCAGTGGGACTCATCAGTGGCAGTGCGCATCCATGACTGCTGCTATTTGCAGGATTTGAACTCAGGATCGTCGGTTTTGCACGCGAACGGTTAACCTATGGATCGCTGGTGGTCTAACAATGATTGATTGAGGATTTTAGTGTGTTTAGAAGATATTTCTTAGGGAAGTTAATAGAGATTGTGGATTTTCATTAGCTGATGCGGTGTGATTGTGATAGGCATTAATTATTACATAACCTTAATGGCCATTTTCTATTAAAATGTGTGATGTTAACTGATATAGTAGTTAGTTGTTAGAAAACTTGAAGCAACCTTATCAAGATACGAAGATAGTCTATGAAATCAATGACTTTTGGTCTTGAACCACTTAGATAAGTTGTGTACACTATTACTTGGTTAGGATTTACTTACTTACTTACGCCTGTTACCCCTAACGGGGCATAGTCTACTGACCAGTACTCTCCAATCTACTCTGTCCTCCAATTCTCTTTCCTGTTCTGTTCAATTTTTGTTCATTCTTCTCATATCTTTCGCTATTTCTCGGCATGTAATGTGTTCTTTGGCCTTCGCCTTTCCCTATATCCACGGGGATTCTAAGTGAGGGCTTGTATTGTGACGCAGTTGGGTGCTTTACTCAATCTGTATCCTAGCCACCAGCTCGGGCGCTTCTGCCTGATTTCTTTCTCTGCTGGAATTTGGTTTGTAGACATGTTTACCTTAGATTATTTCCAATTTATCTGACATTTTCCTATCAACAAAATAACCATGAAAAGTTTACTGTCCCTTAGGCATTACCAAAATAACGAATAAAAATCAGACTAGCCTTGGGTTTTTGCTATTCGCCAGATAGACAGACAGACAGATACAACGCAGAACTTCGTACATAAGTACATCAGTTCAGGTTGCCATACCACGTCAGCACAGAGATGTAGCTGTTACCTTGACGTGGTGGTCGGGCTTGCCAATCGTGATGACCCAACCAAGCTATACTGGCTGGAACAGATATTCCTGAAGGTTCTACCATATCAGGCAGGTCGATTGGAGAACGTTCAGACTAAAAGCAGCTACCCAAGGTCTGAGGGCGAAGTCGTGCTGCTGACTGTGATGGAGGGGTGTGACAGCAGTAAGGTGTTTCCCTCGGACAACCAGCATCTGCAGCGATGCTGCCTTCTGACAAGGAAGGAGGGGTTAGAAAAGGTCGACCCTAAAAATGTCACACCTCACCTTACCTTACGGATTTCCGTCTCCGGCAGTAAGGGTACCCACTAAGGGCTTTTAAACAAGACGGGGCTAATACTCGAAAAACCTTTGATAGAACGCCCGTGCATGACCGGCTTCAAGCAGTTGTCCCTTGGACTCTGCGGTCACGCTCCCAGGCCTCTAAGACAGACTCTAATCGAGCTTGATTTTCAGGTTCTTCAAGAAACACCCTTCCACGGTTTGGGCAGCCGGGAAGTGACAACCGCCCTCATACTAGTAACAGCAGACGAGACCGAATCGGTCAAAATCAAATCCATTCGCCAGATAACCAAAACAGCTTATGGAACTTGTTCAGGCAGCGAATACTGCCTGTCAATTCGATACTGATAAGTTCGATAAGACTGGCCAACAATAATAAGTGTGATGCTTATCAGAACTACTAGAATAAAATTATAACACATTTTCAGTTTAACTCATGAACTAATCTCTTAGCTAAGTCATGAATGAAAGCCTAGAAGTATTGGATAGCTATTTTGTTAGTACTATGAGACTCCTTATTCAGCATGCGAAAATCAAACGTAGAACATTTGGTTTTATACAATTAACTGACTAGCGTCACTAGAGTTAAATTGATGCGAAGTACTTGTATCCGATAGAATCTATACATACTGACAAGATTTGGTGATTATAGGGCCATACCACAAACTGACTGATTGACTAACTTTAGAATTATGCCGTTCATTAGACTCTGGTCCTGGATTGGTTCCTTAGTCAGTTCGTAGCTGATCGCTGTTAATGTGCCTTATTCGAAAACAAGTACAATTACCCAATGCTCCATAACTTTCAAAATCATTTACTAACCGAGATCCAATCAGTGATGAATAAGATTCACCGATTTAAATGACCACTTCAATTTACTCCATTTGTTCAAAATCTAGCCCTTACTGTCACTAGAGTTGAAGTGATGAGAAGTACTGATATCCGATAGAATCTACGCACACACACGCACCATCGAAATCAGATGATCATGGTGCCATAACACAAACTGATTGATTGATTGACTGACTAATTTTAGAATTATGCCGCTCATTAGACGCTGATCCTCAGATAGTTTCCTAGTCAGTTCGTAGTTGATCGCTGTTAATGAGCCTTATTCTAAGATAAAGACAATTGTCCAGTACTTCATAACTTTCAAAACTCATTTACTACTAACTGAGATCCAGTCAGCAATGAATACGATTCAGCGATTTAAATGATCACTTCAACTTACTCCATTTGTTCAAAATCCAACCCTTACTGTCACTAGAGTCAAAGTGATGAGAAGTACTAATACCCGATAGAATCTACACAAGCACACACACGCACCATCGAAATCAGAGGATCATGGTGCCATAACACAAACTGATTGACTGACTGACTGACTGACTTTAGAATTATGCCGTTCATTAGACTCTGATCCAAATGGTTCTATTAATGAGGTGCTCTCCCAAGAAAACCTCACACTCCTGGGTTCTAAAGAGTCCTATTCTGGTAAAAAGCCATGATCCACTGATTCTCCATGACTTTTGAAACTCACTACTAACTGAGATCCAGTCAGCGATGAGTACGATTCACCGATTTAAATGATCACTTCAACTTACACCATTCGTCCCACTGTGGTGCGCGCTACTTACAAGTAGTATATGACGTGAGTGTCAACGTAATGTCTGGCAGCAGAAGATAGGGGAAGATCAAGAAAGGAAGAGTTAGAACACAATGAAATTTGTATGAAACGCATGAATAGTGACAATGGATTGATGTTTTGCAACAGGAACAGTCCAGTTCGATATGATGAACTGATATTTTGCAAATGAACGATTTACGATATGGTTTTCCTATTTTACTGAATAACTGTGAATACAATTCACCGATTTAAATGATCACTTCAACTTCACTCCATTTGTCTCACAACTTTACTGTTCACAGTAGACAAATTTTAATTTTTAGTCAAATAAAAAAAACCATTTACCAAAACGAAACTACCGATCCGTAAAATGCAGTGACAGTTTTTTCTACCAGTGATTTGTAGAAAAAATAACCCAAGTACACTACTTATTTTTTTCTGTTACAGAAATTTGTTGAAAAAGAGACATTTTAGGCATAAATCAAATGTATGGCAAGGTAGGTAGGTATGAGAGTGAAAGTGAGCGAGCGCGCGTTTGCGTGTGAGCGAGTGAGAGGGATTAGGTGTATATTATATATATATATATATATATATATATATATATATATATATATATATATATATATATATATAATATATATATATATATTTGTCAAACCATTTACTTTTTGTAGAAATGCTAAACGAAATTTTTACTGATTATGTCATAAAACATTTTTATGAATGAAAAAAAATTTATTCTCTGGAAGTTATATTCATGATGTAAAGTTGTGAAATTTAAGCGCTTACATCAGAGACTACTTTTAAAAAAAAGGCAATAGGCTTAATTGTGGTGGAAAAAAACCGGTAGCCGAACTTTATGGGTGTAAAAGATAGACAGTAAAATTAGATTATATGCATAGGTTATTAGTATTCGGTTATAAATGTATTCGAAGCATTGCTCTTGTATCTTGGGACAATCGAGTAAGCAATGCTGGTGTTAGCGAAAGTGTACTAGAGAAGAATGGCAAATTAATTGATAAAGTAGTGAAACTTCATCAATTGAGGTGGTCGGGACATGGTTTGCGTATGCCTAATCACCGACTACCTCGATGAGTGATGTTTTGTGATGTAGGAGTAGGCTGGAAGAAAGCTAGGGGCGGCAAAAAACCGAAACAAGGCATCAGTCCATGAAGTCACTAGCAAGTGGACTGAGCCATGCTGGTAGGTATAGAATACTTGGTTAGGGTTCACAATCATAACCGGTGATAGTGTTATGCTCGTCACTAGGTATGCTTGAAACTATTACGGGTTCACCTCAGTCGATAAACGAGATCGAGCGTCCAGGTAAGCAACTCTGATCCGTTGATCCAAAGGAACTAACGAGAAGTCTTGATATAGCGTAGAAAGTTTATTCTACAAACACCCAACAAACTCAATGAGCTCAATCACACAAATCGCGTTTATGTATACATCATACAGAGAGTCACGAAAAATAGCACACTAAAATAACACAGTAACCAATCATAGCTAAGGGCTTTCCAGGTGGGAAAAATGATCTCAAGGTCAATTGATCAGCCCACGAATAAAATCAAAAATAAAGATATTTATCAAGCGAGTTCCTAGTGATCTAACATCCTTAACAGATAGACATTTTGAATGACATGGTTCGAAATCGTTTGCAATGACGCAGGCGCGTATCCACTCTTTGTGTTCTCTCAAATTTGAATCTTTTGAATTCCCAATGACCGTCGTTTTTTCTTTTAAAATTAATTTCACCGGAATATACTTCTTTGAACCCTAATCTTCTGCATTGCCTCCAATACTCATACTATCTATACTACTATAGGATCTGAACTGACCATTCGTCCTCTCTGTACTCATGTTATGTGGCAACTTGATCTGAAGTACGTAGGTACGTACATCGTTCTACGTTGTACATGACTGACTGACTGACTAACTGACTGATACTACATTTCACTGTTAGTATTCAAACTGAATCTCTAACCCCACAGCTTTAGTTTCAACGTTCACTGTCAGTCATACACTGAAACTTGAGAATATAAAGCATGCGTTCTACTCTAATCATTTATAGACTATGATTCTTGAATATATTTGATGTGTGTGCGCCAAACGAGAATGAGTTGAAACTGTAATACAAATAATCCATATATTTTTTCGTTAAAAAAACTCATAAAAAATACCAGGAAACTGATAAGTACCAATCAATAAAACTAAGCTACACATCAACCTTTTCATTTCCAACTCCTATTCTCGACACCCTTCAATTCTTCTCTTGTGCACTTGACATTTAAATGCATAACTTACTGACGTACTTACACCTGTTACCCCCGATGGAGCATAGGTCACTGATCAGCGAATTATGTTTTCTGGTTAGCATGTTTTTCCTAGTGAGTTTGGATTTCTACAGGATGGGGTCACCTAACCCCCATGCCCGCAAGCCCTTCTCCTTTATCCGCGCTTAGCGTCGGCAGTAACCTTGGAAGCGCTCCCAGAGGAGTTTTCAAGTCCTGACCAGCTAATTATGTTTTCTCGTTTGTGTTTTTTTTCATAGCTAGTTTGAATTTCTACAGGATGGGGTCACTTATGCCCCATGCTGCCAAACCCTCTTCCTTTATCCGGACTTAGCGTCGGCAGTAACCTTAGAACATCTCCAAGCGGAATTTTCAAATCCATTGACAAAGATTATCATCGTTTTAATGTTACTTAATTACCGATATCAGTAGTATTTTCAAAACTAATTCTTTTCTCTTTTTCAATGATTATTAATTGATTTTTATTTTTTCAAAAAAATTCCCTTCTAGGCACATGTTGTTTCAGCTTTTGAACAAAGTTTAAATAATATGTCACAACGACTACAGAATTTATCGAATACTACGACGAAAAAGGTTAGTTACTGCAAAAGAATAATTTTGTAAATTTTCATGATAAAATTGTGAAGATTATGGAGTTTTATTAACACTATTATGGATGCTGGCTTAGTGGTATAGAGGTTAAGCATTCACTCAGGAGGTCGAAGGTCCTGGGTTTCGATTCCCGCGAGCGGAGATCGTGGATGCATACTGCCATTTTAATCAATCAATCAATCAACAGCAACATAGAACTTCGTACATAGTACATACATCAGTTTAAGTTACCATACCACATTAACACATAGAGATGTAACTGTCACTTCAAATACCACAAGAGTAAAGGTAGTAGAAGTATTAGCAGTAATCGGAGAGATTTTTGTTCGAAGATATGATTCGATAAGTATAATTCAGTAAGATAAATTTAGAATGAGAAAGATAGAGATGATGAGGAATTTAGAAGGTTGAAATGTGAGAGAACACAAAGGGTGGATGTACCTGCGCCATTGCAAACGATTCTGAGCCATGTCGTTCAAGGTCTCTAACCGTCGGTGACTTTCGTCTCGCGGACCCCAACCAGGTAGTCTACATCTACCCACATGACTCAATCCACTTGTCAGTAACTTCATGGATTTGTGCCATGTTTTTGGTTTGCCCTCTCCCCTTAGCTTCTTCCCCATCTTTTCGTTCTGCAATCAATTTTGCTGGACATAATCCTCATTATCACTCATTGACAATTGAACAATTGGTGTTTATCTACATTCAAACAATAATTTGTTTCTTTCAATTTAAAAATGAAATCCCCATATATTAGTGGACTAAATTTGTTCCATATTGAAGACAACTTGTGATTATTCATGATAATGAAGTAGTATATGTATATATATGTATATACACATTCTGATACGAAACAGGTTTCTTGTGTTATAACATGTGGTGTATACTAGTTAAACTGTCATACAACACAGTTAAATAATCAAAAGAACCTAGTAATCAATAATCCCTTTGAAAGATACAAATTCTAGAAAAGCTCAAAATAGTTCAAGATGTAAAGATGATGGTCTCATCATCAATTGTGTTTTTCATACTTTTACTTTTACGTACGTCTGTCACCCAAAATAGAGGAGCATAGGCCGTTGACCAACACTCTCCAACCTACTCTCTGTCCTGGGCTTCCCTTTCCTGTTCTGTCCAATGTTAGTTCATTCTTCTCATATCTTTCTCTATTTCTCGACGTAATGTGTTCTTTGGATTTCCTCTTTTCCTTCGACCTTGAGGGTTCCAAGTGAGGGCTTGTCCTGTGATGCAGTTGGATGCTTTCCACAGTGTGAGTTCTATACACCTTCAGCGCTTCTTCCTGATTTCCTCCTCCAGTGGAATCTGATTTATTCTCTCCCATAGTAAGTTGTTGCTGATAGTGTCTGGCCAACGGATTCGAATTATTTTGCGTAGACAACTGTTAATGAATACTTGTGTGTTATGGGTGATAGCTTTCGTTGTTCTCCAAGTTTCCGCCCCATACAGTAGAATTGTCTGATTTCGGTGTTGGTTGATATTTGTTTGGAGTTCCAGATGTTGTTCAATTGTAGAAATGCAGCTTTTGCATTGCCGGTCCACGCCTTTACATCTATCTGCGTTGGATTCATCTTGCTCGTCAATGATGCTGCCCAGATATCTAAAGGTTTATCTACCAACTATTAAAATTTTTGGGACAGAATAATCTGAAAAATATCATCAGAGGGTTATGGAGATTGTTGAGTTTTATTCAAGTTGTGTAACTAATCAATGTTAGACTACCATTCCGCCCCAGTGTATGGGACTACTCATCAACAGTGTGCGGTAATCGATCCCAGGGTCCTCGGTCTCGCGCGCGAACATTTAACTAAGTCGGCATCCAGTAGTGTCAATGTCTAACTTCGTTTAAAACACAGTATTGTCTAATATGGAATCCTTCAGCGGCAGTGTACATTTGTAGTGAATGAGAAAACAGGTGGGGCAACCGAATTGTATTTAACGGAAATTACACAGTTACTCAGTAAAATAGGAAAACCATATCGTAAATCGTTCATTTGCAAAATATCAGTTCATCATATCGAACTGGACTGTTCCTATTGTAAAACATCAACAATCCATTGTCACTATTCATGCGTTTCATACAAATTCCATTGTGTTCCCAACTCTTCCTTTCTTGATCTTCCCCCATCTTCTGCTGCCACCAGACATTACGTTGACGCTCACGTCATTTACTACTTATAATTAGCTCGCACCACACATTCACAACCCTGCAAGTGGGTATTAAACCGAAGATGAAAAGGCCATCCAGTGCTTCCAGGTTTTCAATGATGGTATAACAATGATCGATCTATGATTTCAATATATATATATAACAGTGTATATGCACGTTAAAATGAAAAGTAACCCAAAAATCATAATACACCTCGAAATTGAAATTGATTCACCATCGTATCGATCGTGGCAATTTTTCAAATTAAATATGATTGGTTAATTTGATTTTTATTTTTCGTTTACTTATATTCTCTGTGTTTTTTTATTTTCTGTTGACCAGGATTCAGAACTACATGAATTAAGAGCTACAATTGATGCACTACGCAGTCAAACAGAATTAGGATTTTTGAAAAAACCACCAATTAATCGACCTTGTGAATTGAATAGATCAATGATAAAAGATACATTAAAACAACAAGAAACTATATGTACTACAACAACTACACCTACTACTACTAATATGAATACCAATACTACTAACAATGCTAGTATGAGTGAAAATGAACAGACACTTGTGAATTCACGTTTAACTGTATCAAATACAAGTTTGACTGATGTAGACAGTCAACATTCGTCACATATGGATCAGTCAATTGATAAAGTACCATCGACTACGTCTAGTTGTAAATCGTCAGGAATTAATGTGAAGAAAAATGGATGGGTAAGTAATTTGTTTATTGAAATCAAGAACCAATTTATATTAGACTATCCTTAGAAACTCGGAAGCATTGGACATCTGTTTCGTCCTAATATGGGACTCTTTAATGTCAGTGTACATCCATGACCTTGCAAGGAGGGATCGAGACAAGAACCTTCGGTATCACATGTGATCATGTCACCTTTAATACGCTGAGTGGGAATCCAACAATTTTCATGTCCAACTTTAATCAAACCACTATATTGTATGACCATCATACGGTGTCTTCGGTGGAGAACTAACTGTCTCATCCCCTCAAAACAGTCAAAACAGTCTCTAACCATCGGTTACTATTGTCTCGCGGACCGCAGCCAGATAGTCTACAGACCTACTGAAATGGCTCATGCCACTTGTCAGTATCTTTGATATGCTCGAGCTATTTCGAGTTCAACTTACTCGGTAAACGGAACTTAAGATCAACGATGCAGTGACACGATAGGCTATTCTAATATGATCGTCCCAGGCCCCACTAACTAGTGGAAGAAGTCTTGATATGACGTAGAGAGAAAGTATTCAACAGGCACCCAGAAAATACGAAGTCCACAAGCACACAACGCAAGCTTATTTATATGATGATAGAAACGCCCTTGGTTCGGTTGTAGACAGTTGCCTACCGAACGCAAATGGGTGAGGTTATGCAAAACCCATAGACTGACTAAAGTTAGACATCAACACAGTTGGATGCCGCGGCCCAGTGGTCCGTAAGTTGAGCGCTCGTGCGCATAAGACCAAAGGTCCTGGGTTCGATTCCTGTGTGAGTATCAGAAGTCGTCAACATGCAGTACTGATGCCTAGACCCATATCAGGACGAAACGGCCGTCTAAACAATGCTTCCAAGTTTCTAATTGTGATAGTCTAACAATGATTGATTGATGATTTCAAATGTGTCAAAACATATTCGCATTACAGGGTTGTGACGATTGTTAAGTTACACCATTTAAAATCATGGCTCGATCAATGTTAAGACTAACACCAATAGAAACCTAGAATCATTGAAAAATGGCCGTTTCATCCTAGTGTATGAGACTCATCAGTGGCAGTGCGCATCCACCACTTCTGTACCTCGCATGATTCGAACCCAGGACCTTCGTGGAAGAACGCCTGAAAAGAAATGTTGAACTCAATCTTAACTGAAGCATCCGTAACAACAACTGAACTCAAGTCCTTCGGTATACTTCTCTCGTTTTCGTGCAAACGTTTAATTCTTTTCATCAGTTAGAACTTAAAAACCAAAAAACCAGTAAAAACCATTTTCAAACTTTACAACAACTCGATATTATATACATCTATATGTAATATATGTGGGAATTTCAGTTTAACAGCAGAGAGACTAGTTCATTCCATCTCTCTCTCCTCTCTATCCTCACACACACACACACACACACAAACAAGCTAACAGACACTTGTCGACAGAAAAATTCCTTTTCCAATCCATAATTACAATAATTAAGAAACAATTCGAATTAGTAATAATAATAATAATAATAATAATAATAATAATTAACATTTTTGTAAACATCTAGATTTACACTAAACTAACTTGAATGTATGTCGAACTCGGATGGTGGTGGGGGTGTGTGTGTGTGTGGTGGTGGACAGGCGGAAAAGCCTAACAGGAGCAAAAAAAATGTAATTGTTACTTATAATATCTTAAAAGAATTCCTTGAACTACAATCCGTACTCTACAACATGACATGCAATCATACACACACACCTTCACACACACGCACCACAACACACACACACACACGAAAACAATAGTTCATCAATGAAAGAAAGAAAATTCCAATCGAATTAATTGATTAATTCATTGATTAATTAATTAATTAATAATTACGTAGCGGAAGAAGAAAAATGTAAAATGAAATGAAACAGGTGTGTAGTGTATTGATGACGGGTTCGATTCGATTGATTTTATTATTTAAAAAACAGTCTGATTGATTGATTCATCAGCAAGATACATTGGACTGATTCACTAATAGGGGCACGGTCAGTCAAATAATGTATATATATTTCAAGCATGTAGCTTACTAAACTACACAACCCAGTAATCCAATTACCTGTACTCATTGGTGACTAGCTGCGTGAGGAATCATCGCCGAGTTCTACTTGGAACTCGTGACCAATGAAGTTCACCCCAGTTCGGGTGTAGACAGTAACTACTAATGAAGATAGTGTATGAGTTTGCGCAACTCCGTGAATTGGTCAAAGTTAGACAATAATACTGTTAGGTACTTGGTCAGTATGCCAGAGATTAGGCGTTCGAGCGCAAGACCGAAGGTTCCGGGGTTCGAATCATGTGAGGTGCAGAAGTCGTGGATGCGCACTGCCACTGATGAGTCTCATACACCAGGATGAAACGGTCGTCTTTCAGTGATTCCAGGTTTCTAATGGTGTTGGTCTTAACATTGATCAATTCATGATGGAAATACTGGTTTCTTTACGTTCGACCGTATAGGGGATGGGTTAGTTAGAGAGTGATAAGACTGAAAATAACAAACTTACCAACTGAATGTGTTGGGGATGTTAGATCCCTTAGCACTCACTTGATTAAGGTCCTAAACTAGGATTTTATGCTTTCGAGCATGGGCTTATCAGTTGATCTTCAGATTACATTTCCCACCCGGAAAATCCTTGACTGTTATTGGTTGATGGATTATTTTAGTACGCTTTTTTTGTGTCTCTCCCAATGAAGTTTCTATCATGTATAAATAGGCCCGATTTGTGTGCTTGTCGAATACATTCTTTCTAATTCGTGTCAAGATTTCTTCCTCTACTTAGTGGGGGCCTTTGGACGCACGGATTCGAGTAGTCTATTGTGTCACTAAATCGTTTGTCTTCGATATCGTTTACTGATTAACGTCAAATCGTAATAGTTTCAAGCATATCAGCTGACGAGCACGAATGCGTGAGAAGTCATACACTTGACTGTACAATAATGTCAGAAGAGTAAGGATATTTTAAAGTCGAAATCGAGCATCTGAACACAATACTGCCTTTACTAAATAGAAGAGTAAGGCCTGTCTGAACAATTGTACGTCGTTGCTTGAGATATAGATTGCTGTAATCAATGGTAAAGCCTCTGACGTACAAAGTTAACTCAGTAAGAACTGCACACATGGAGGTCAATATGTGACCAGTTTCATTTCAGTCAACTTACCCCTTTTTGAGTTTTTTCATTTAAGTACCGATGAGATGATCAATACCCAACTAACTTTACATTTACGATTTGTTAGTTTTGTGGTGACCAATTTCGATGTGTTCTTAGTCTTTGTAATTAGCTCGTCCAGACAATCGTTACTAACTAGTGTGTCTGACGGTTTATAAATTAGAAGGTGAACTCGAAGTGTTGAATAAGTTTCTTTTGGCACTCCCCAAAATGGGATAACAGACCACAAACAGACCTGACAGGCACACTATCGAGTGAATGTGCGAATGAATTAATAAGATTAAAATGTTCGTATATATATACAAAGGAAAATGTCTGAGTCATCGCGAATAGGATGCGTAGGCGCGTAGGCGGTAAGCAATGCTCAGTCGTATCAGCTCATACAAACCGGACAATAGTAAAAGTCAATGGTACATATAAGTTGTTGCTATACAAATGGCTTGGTTAAATAAGTTAATCGAAAGGCTTAATCAAATTAAATATAAGCGAACTCGAATGTATATGGAGGCACTAGAGTTTCACTGAAATCATGAATCGATCACATTGTTAGATAACCATTAGAAACCTGGTCGTGTGAATCCACGATCCTGTATGTGGGAATCGAACCTGCTACTACCTTCAGTCTCTTTTGCAAACGCTTAACCCCTGGCATCCACAACAGTGTTAATGTATAACTTTTGATCAGTCCGTAGTATCTCTCAACCTTCTGTTGGGGACGTTATATCTACAAAACTCACTTAATAAAGGCCCTAATTTTCGCTTTTATGCTTTTGCGCATGGACTGATCAGTTGACCTTAAGATTACATTTCCGCACTCGGAAAATCCTTGACTGCTGTTATTGGTTGATGTATTACTTTAGTGCACCATTTTTGTGGCTCTCTCTATCATGTTGTACAAATAAACTCGATTTGTGTGCTTGTCAGCCTCATATTTCCTGGGTGTTTGTAGAATACATTCTTTCTACGTCGTGTCAATACTTCTTCCTCTACTTATTATGACCTTCGGATTAGAGTAGCCTATCGTGTCACTGAATCATTTGTCTTCGATATCGTTTACTGATTAACGTCAAATCGTAATAGTTTCAAGCATATCAGCTGACGAGCATAAATAAATTGAGAAGTCACATCGTTGACTGTACAATAGTGTCACAACAGTATAGTATATTTTAAAGTCCCAACTCTAGATCTGAACACAATACTGCCTTTACCAAATAGAAGAGTAAGGCCTGTCGGAACAACTGTACGTGACTGTTTGCGATATAGATTTCTGTTATCAGTGGTAAAGCCACTGACGCACAAAGTTAACACAGTAAGAACTACGCTCCTAGAGATCAATATGTGACCCAGTTTCATTTCAGTTAACTTAGCGCTTTTCGAGCCTTCTCACTAAGTAAATATCAGATGATCAATTCTCTATCTAATTATCTATACGATTTTTTGGTTTACATGGAAATCATGAATCGATCGATCATTGTTAGACCATCACCATTAGAAACCTGGAAGCATTGAAAGATGTCTGCTTCATCCTAATATAAGACTGGTCAGCGGTAGTATGAATCCACAAACCTGTATGTGGTTTTCGATCATAGGTGTCTTCGAAGCGTTGATCGTATATCGTGGGACACCCGAGTGAACAACGCTGTTATTAGGAATCGGGTGCTAGGTAAGAATGGCAGATCAATAGATGAAATAATGAAACTTCATCAGTTGAGGGGTTGGGACATGTGTTGCGTATGCCTAACCACCGACTGCCTCGAAGAGCTTTGTTTTGTAGTGTAGGAGTAGGTTGAAAGAAAGTTAGGAGCGGCCAGACAAAACATGGCAGAAATCCATGAAGTCATTGACGATTAGAGTATGCCATGTCGGTAATTGTCGACTACCTGGTTGGGGTCCGCGAGATGATAATAATCGATGGTTAAAGACCTTGAATGACATGGCTCAAAATCGTTGCAATGGCGCCGTTGCATTATTCTCAGTGTCCTCTCAAATCCTAATCTTCTGGATTCTTCAAACCCCTCTAGTTTTGACCCTTTCTAAACTTTTCTCACTGATACATACTTCTTGAACAATATCTTCTAATCCTAACCTCTTCCGAATATTACTTCTAATACCTTTACTACCTATTCTACTATTGGAATTTGAATTGAAAATTACATCTGTCTGTGCTAATGTGGTATGGCGACGTGAACTGATGTACTTACGTACGAAGTACTATGTTGCATCTGAATGACTGACTGACTGGTGTGGGAACTGTACCTGCTACTACCTTCAGTCTCTTTTTCAAACTCAACCCCTGGCATCCACAAGTGTTATTGTGTAGCTTTTGATCAATCCATGGTATTGCGCAATAAACTTTCTGTTGGGCACATTAAATTCCCAGAACTCACTTAATAAACGGTCCCAATTTAGGATTTTATGCTTCGAGCATGGGCTTATCAGTTGATCTTCAGATTACATTCCCACCACGGAAAATCCTTGACTGCTGTTATTGGTTGATGTATTATTTTAGCGCACTATTTTTGTGGCTCTCTCTAATCAATGTTGTATAAAATAAACTCGATTTATGAGCCTATCAACTCCAGATTTTCTACGCCTTATCAAGACTTCTTCTACTTAGAAGAAGTCTTGATAAGGCGTAGAAAATCTGGAGTTGATAGGCTCATAAATCGAGTTTATTTATACAACATGATAGAGAGAGCCACAAAAATAGTGCGCTAAAATAATCCATCAACCAATAACAGTCAAGGATTTTCCGGGTGGGAAATGTAATCTGAAGATCAACTGATAAGCCCATGCTCGAAAGCATAAAATCCTAAATTGGGACCGTTTATTAAGTGAGTTCTGGGAATTTAATGTGCCCAACAGAAAGTTTATTGCGCAATACCATGGATTGATCAAAAGCTACACAATAACACTTGTGGATGCCAGGGGTTGAGTTTGAAAAAGAGACTGAAGGTAGTAGCAGGTACAGTTCCCACACCAGTCAGTCAGTCATTCAGATGCAACATAGTACTTCGTACGTAAGTACATCAGTTCACGTCGCCATACCACATTAGCACAGACAGATGTAATTTTCAATTCAAATTCCAATAGTAGAAGAGATAGTAAAGGTATTAGAAGTAATCGGAGAGGATAGGATAAGCAGAGATTGTTCAAGAAGTATGTATCAGTGAGAAAAGTTTAGAAAGTCAAAACTAGAGGGGTTGAAGAATCCAGAAGATTAGGATTTGAGAGGACACAGAGAATAACTGCAACGGCGCCATTGCAAACGATTTTGAGCCATGTCATTCAAGGTCTTTAACCATCGATTATTATCATCTCGCGGACCCCAACCAGGTAGTCGACAATTACCGACATGGCTAACTCTAATCGTCAATGACTTCATGGATTTCTGCCATGTTTTGGTCTGGCCGCTCCTAACTTTCTTCCAACCTACTCCTACACTACAAAACAAAGCTCTTCGAGGCAGTCGGTGGTTAGGCATACGCAACACATGTCCCAACCACCTCAACTGATGAAGTTTCATTATTTCATCTATTGATCTGCCATTCTTACCTAGCACCCGATTCCTAATAACAGCGTTGTTCACTCGGGTGTCCCACGATATACGATCAACGCTTCGAAGACACCTATGATCGAAAACCACATACAGGTTTGTGGATTCATACTACCGCTGACCAGTCTTATATTAGGATGAAGCAGACATCTTTCAATGCTTCCAGGTTTCTAATGGTGATGGTCTAACAATGATCGAATCAAGATTTCCATGAAACCAAAAAATCGTATTATTAGTTGAGAATTGATCATCTGATATTTACTTAGTGAGAAGACTGAAATGAAACTGGTCACATATTGACCTCCATGTGTGCAGTTCTTACTGAGTTAACTTTGTACGTCAGAGGCTTTACCATTGATTACAGCAATCTATATCTCAAGCAACGACGTACAATTGTTCAGACAGGCCTTACTCTTCTATTTAGTAAAGGCAGTATTGTGTTCAGATGCTAGACTGGGACTTTAAAATATCCTTACTCTTCTGACATTATTGTACAGTCAAGTGTATGACTTCTCACGCATTCGTGCTCGTCAGCTGATATGCTTGAAACTATTACGATTTGACGTTAATCAGTAAACGATATCGAAGACAAATGATTCAGTGACACGATAGGCTACTCTAATCCGAAGGTCATAATAAGTAGAGGAAGAAGTATTGACACGACGTAGAAAGAATGTATTCTACAAACACCCAGGAAATATGAGGCTGACAAGCACACAAATCGAGTTTATTTGTACAACATGATAGAGAGAGCCACAAAAATGGTGCACTAAAGTAATACATCAACCAATAACAGCAGTCAAGGATTTTCCGAGTGCGGAAATGTAATCTCAAGGTCAACTGAACAGTCCATGCGCAAAAGCATAAAATCCAAAATTAGGACCTTAATTAAGTGAGTTTTGTAGATATAACGTCCCCAACAGAAGGTTGAGAGATACTACGGACTGATCAAAAGTTATACATTAACACTGTTGTGGATGCCAGGGGTTAAGCGTTTGCAAAAGAGACTGAAGGTAGTAGCAGGTTCGATTCCCACATACAGGATCGTGGATTCACACGACCAGGTTTCTAATGGTTATCTAACAATGTGATCGATTCATGATTTCAGTGAAACTGTAGTGCCTCCACATGCATTTGAGTTCGCTTATATATGTAATTTGGTTAAGCCTTTCGATTAATTTATTTAACCAAGCCATTTGTATAACAATAACCTATATGTACCATTAGCTTTTACTTATTGTGTGATTTGTATGAACTGGTTGTGACTGAGCATTGCTTACCGCCTACGCGCCTACGCATCCTATTCGCAATGACTCAGTTATCTTCCTATGTATATATACGAACATCTTAATCTTATTAATTCATTCGCCCATTCGCCCATTAGCACATTCGCTTTCTAGTGTGCCTGCCTGGTATGTTTGTGGTCTGTTATCCCATTTTGGGGAGTGCCAAAAGAAACTTATTCAACACTTCGAGTTCACCTTCTAATTTATAAACCGTCAGACACACTAGTTAGTAACGATTGTCTGGACGAGCTAATTACAAAGACTAAGAACACATCGAAATTGGTCACCACAAAACTAACAAATCGTAAATGTAAAGTTAGTTGGGTATTGATCATCTCATCGGTACTTAAATGAAAAAACTCAAAAGGGGTAAGTAGACTGAAATGAAACTGGTCACATATTGACCTCCATGTGTGCAGTTCTTACTGAGTTAACTTTGTACGTCAGAGGCTTTACCATTGATTACAGCAATCTATATCTCAAGCAACGACGTACAATTGTTCAGACAGGCCTTACTCTTCTATTTAGTAAAGGCAGTATTGTGTTCAGATGCTAGACTGGGACTTTAAAATATCCTTACTCTTCTGACATTATTGTACAGTCAAGTGTATGACTTCGCACGCATTCGTGCTCGTCAGCTGATATGCTTGAAACCATTACGATTTGACCTTAATCAGTAAACGATAGCGAAGACAAACGATTTAGTGACACAATAGACTACTCGAATCCGTGCGTCCAAAGGCCCCCACTAAGTAGAGGAAGAAATCTTGACACGAATTAGAAAGAATGTATTCTACAAGCACACAAATCGGGCTAATTTATACATGATAGAAACTTCGTTGGGAGAGACACAAAAATAGCGTACTAAAATAATCCATGAACCAATAAACAGTCAAGGAGTTTCCGGGTGGGAAATGTAATCGCAAGGTCAACTGATCAGCCCATGCTCTAAACCACAAAATCCAAGTTTAGGACCTTAATCAAGTGAGTGCTAAGGGATCTAACATCCCCAACACATTCAGTTGGTAAGTTTGTTATTTTCAGTCTTATCGCTCTCTAATTAACCCATCCCCTATACGGTCGAACGTAAAGAAACCAGTATTTCCATCATGAATTGATCAATGTTAAGACCAACACCATTAGAAACCTGGAAGCACTGAAAGACGGCCGTTTCATCCTGGTGTATGAGACTCATCAGTGGCAGTGCGCATCCACGACTTCTGCACCTCACATGATTCGAACCCCGGAACCTTCGGTCTTGCGCTCGAACGCCTAATCTCTGGCATACTGACCAAGTACCTAACAGTATTATTGTCTAACTTTGACCAATTCACGGAGTTGCGCAAACTCATACACTATCTTCATTAGTAGTTACTGTCTACACCCGAACTGGGGTGAACTTCATTGGTCACGAGTTCCAAGTAGAACTCGGCGATGATTCCTCACGCAGCTAGTCACCAATGAGTACAGGTAATTGGATTACTGGGTTGTGTAGTTTAGTAAGCTACATGCTTGAAATATATATACATTATTTGACTGACCGTGCCCCTATTAGTGAATCAGTCCAATGTATCTTGCTGATGAATCAATCAATCAGACTGTTTTTTAAATAATAAAATCAATCGAATCGAACCCGTCATCAATACACTACACACCTGTTTCATTTCATTTTACATTTTTCTTCTTCCGCTACGTAATTATTAATTAATTAATTAATCAATGAATTAATCAATTAATTCGATTGGAATTTTCTTTCTTTCATTGATGAACTATTGTTTTCGTGTGTGTGTGTGCGCGTGTGTGTGAAGGTGTGTGTGTATGATTGCATGTCATGTTGTAGAGTACGGATTGTAGTTCAAGGAATTCTTTTAAGATATTATAAGTAACAATTACATTTTTTTTGCTCCTGTTAGGCTTTTCCGCCTGTCCACCACCACACACACACACACCCCCACACCATCCGAGTTCGACATACATTCAAGTTAGTTTAGTGTAAATCTAGATGTTTACAAAAATGTTAATTATTATTATTATTATTATTATTATTATTATTACTAATTCGAATTGTTTCTTAATTATTGTAATTATGGATTGGAAAAGGAATTTTTCTGTCGACAAGTGTCTGTTAGCTTGTTTGTGTGTGTGTGTGTGTGTGTGAGGATAGAGAGGAGAGAGAGATGGAATGAACTAGTCTCTCTGCTGTTAAACTGAAATTCCCACATATATTACATATAGATGTATATAATATCGAGTTGTTGTAAAGTTTGAAAATGGTTTTTACTGGTTTTTTGGTTTTTTTTTTCTCCTAACTGATGAAAAGAATTAAACGTTTGCACGAAAACGAGAGAAGTATACCGAAGGACTTGAGTTCAGTTGTTGTTACGGATGCTTCAGTTAAGATTGAGTTCAACATTTCTTTTCAGGCGTTCTTCCACGAAGGTCCTGGGTTCGAATCATGCGAGGTACAGAAGTGGTGGATGCGCACTGCCACTGATGAGTCTCATACACTAGGATGAAACGGCCATTTTTCAATGATTCTAGGTTTCTATTGGTGTTAGTCTTAACATTGATCGAGCCATGATTTTAAATGGTGTAACTTAACAATCGTCACAACCCTGTAATGCGAATATGTTTTGACACATTTGAAATCATCAATCAATCATTGTTAGACTATCACAATTAGAAACTTGGAAGCATTGTTTAGACGGCCGTTTCGTCCTGATATGGGTCTAGGCATCAGTACTGCATGTTGACGACTTCTGATACTCACACAGGAATCGAACCCAGGACCTTTGGTCTTATGCGCACGAGCGCTCAACTTACGGACCACTGGGCCGCGGCATCCAACTGTGTTGATGTCTAACTTTAGTCAGTCTATGGGTTTTGCATAACCTCACCCATTTGCGTTCGGTAGGCAACTGTCTACAACCGAACCAAGGGCGTTTCTATCATCATATAAATAAGCTTGCGTTGTGTGCTTGTGGACTTCGTATTTTCTGGGTGCCTGTTGAATACTTTCTCTCTACGTCATATCAAGACTTCTTCCACTAGTTAGTGGGGCCTGGGACGATCATATTAGAATAGCCTATCGTGTCACTGCATCGTTGATCTTAAGTTCCGTTTACCGAGTAAGTTGAACTCGAAATAGCTCGAGCATATCAAAGATACTGACAAGTGGCATGAGCCATTTCAGTAGGTCTGTAGACTATCTGGCTGCGGTCCGCGAGACAATAGTAACCGATGGTTAGAGACTGTTTTGACTGTTTTGAGGGGATGAGACAGTTAGTTCTCCACCGAAGACACCGTATGATGGTCATACAATATAGTGGTTTGATTAAAGTTGGACATGAAAATTGTTGGATTCCCACTCAGCGTATTAAAGGTGACATGATCACATGTGATACCGAAGGTTCTTGTCTCGATCCCTCCTTGCAAGGTCATGGATGTACACTGACATTAAAGAGTCCCATATTAGGACGAAACAGATGTCCAATGCTTCCGAGTTTCTAAGGATAGTCTAATATAAATTGGTTCTTGATTTCAATAAACAAATTACTTACCCATCCATTTTTCTTCACATTAATTCCTGACGATTTACAACTAGACGTAGTCGATGGTACTTTATCAATTGACTGATCCATATGTGACGAATGTTGACTGTCTACATCAGTCAAACTTGTATTTGATACAGTTAAACGTGAATTCACAAGTGTCTGTTCATTTTCACTCATACTAGCATTGTTAGTAGTATTGGTATTCATATTAGTAGTACTGGTAGTAGTAGTAGCAGCAGTTGTAGTACATATAGTTTCTTGTTGTTTTAATGTATCTTTTATCATTGATCTATTCAATTCACAAGGTCGATTAATTGGTGGTTTTTTCAAAAATCCTAATTCTGTTTGACTGCGTAGTGCATCAATTGTAGCTCTTAATTCATGTAGTTCTGAATCCTGGTCAACAGAAAATAAAAAAACACAGAGAATATAAGTAAACGAAAAATAAAAATCAAATTAACCAATCATATTTAATTTGAAAAATTGCCACGATCGATACGATGGTGAATCAATTTCAATTTCGAGGTGTATTATGATTTTTGGGTTACTTTTCATTTTAACGTGCATATACTATTGTAGTGAACGTGAACACAGGTGGGGCAGCCGAATTGTACTTAAGGAAAATTATAGAGTTACTCAGTAAAATAGGAAAACCATATCGTAAATCGTTAATTTGCAAAATATCAGTTCAACATATCGAACTGGACTGTTCATTTTGCAAAACATCATTCCATTGTCACTCACTATTCATGCGTTTCATACAAATTCCATTGTGTTCCCACTCTTCCTTTCTTGATCTTCCCCCATCTTCTGCTGCCAGACATTACGTTGACACTCATGTCATATACTACTTATAAGTAGCTCGCACCACACTATCAAATATATATTAAAATCATAGATCGATCGTTGTTAGACTATCACTGGAAAACTGGAAGCACTGGATGGCCATTTCATCTTTGATTTAATCCCCACTTGCAGGGTTGTCAATGTACACTGCCAATGAAGGATTCCATACTAGACAATACTGTGTTTTAATCGAAGTTACACATGGATACTACTGGATGCCGACTTAGTTAAATGTTCGCGCGCGATACCGAGGACCCTGGGATTGATTCCTGCACACAGTTGATGAATCTCAAACACTGGAGAGGAATGCTAGTGTAACTGCTGATTAGTTACACGAATTCAATAAACATCAACAATCTCCATAACCCTCTGATGATATTTTTCAGATTATTCTGTCCCAAAAATTTTAATAGTTGGTAGATAAACCTTTAGATATCTGGGCAGCATCATTGACGAGCAAGATGAATCCAACGCAGATAGATGTAAAGGCGTGGACCGGCAATGCAAAAGCTGCATTTCTACAATTGAACAACATCTGGAACTCCAAACAAATATCAACCAACACCGAAATCAGACAATTCTACTGTATGGGGCGGAAACTTGGAAAATTATGAAAGCCATCATGGACAAGATACAAGTATTTCTTATTGTGGATCCGTTGGCCAGACACCATCAGCAACAACCTAAACTACAGTGGTAGAGAAAAACCAGATTCCAGTGGAAGAGGAAATCAGAAAGAAGCGCTGAAGGTGGATAGAACTCACACCACGGAAAGCACCAAAGTGCGTCACAAGGCAAGCCTTCACTTCGAGCCTTCAAGGTCAAAGGAAAAAAAGAAGGCCAAAGAACACATTACGCCGAAAAAGGGAGGGAGACATGAGAAGAATGAACAAATATTGGACAGAACTAGAAAGGATGGCCCAAGACAGAGAGTAGGCTGTCGAGTGCTGGTCAGCGGCCTATGCTCCTCTATTGGGGGTGACAGACGTACGTACAAATAAAAGTATGAAAAACACAATTGATGATGAGACCATCATCTTTACATCTTGAACTATTTTGAGCTTTTCTAGAATTTGTATCTTTTGACTATTTAACTGTGTTGTATGACAATTTAACTAGTATAAACCACATGTTGTAACACATGAAACCTGTTTCGTATCAGAATGTATATATACATATATACATACTACTTCATTATCATGAATAATCACAAGTTGTCTTCAATATGGAACAATTCTACTTTAAAAATTTAGTCAACTAATATATGGGGATTCCATTTTCAAATTGAAAGAAACGAATAATTGTTCGAATGTAGATAAACACCAATTGTTCAATAGTCAATGAGTAATAATGACGATTATGTCTAGGAAAATTGATTACAGAACGATAAGATGCGGAAGAAAGCTAGGGGCGGTCAAACCAAAAACATGACAGAAATCCATGAAGTCATTGACAAGTGGACTGGATCATGTTGGTAGATGAGATGATAGTAATTGATGGCTAGAGACCTTGAATTGGATGGCTCAGAATCGTTTGCAATGGCGGTAGCAGGCGCATCCACTCTTTGTGTTCTCTTAAATCGCAACCTTCTGAATTCCTCATAATCTTTATCTTTCTCCTTCTAAATTTATCTCAATGAATTATACTTCTCGAATCATATCTTCGAATCCGATTACCGCTAATACTTCTACTACCTTTACTCTTGTGAGATTTGAACTGACAGTTGCATCTATGTGCTAATGTGGTATGGCAACCTGAACTCTGATGTACTTACGTGCAAAGTTCTATGTTGCTGTTGATTGATTGACTGATTGATTAAAATGGCAATGTGCATCCACGATCTCCGCTCGCGGGAATCGAAACCCAGGACCTTCGACCTCCTGCGTGAATGCTTAACCTCTACACCACTAAGCCAACATTCACAATAGTGTTAGTAAAACTCCATAATCTTCATAATTTTATCATGAAAATTTACAAAATTATTCGCTTGCAGTAACTAACCTTTTTCGTGGTAGTATTCGATAAATTCTGTAGTCGTTGTGACATATTATTTAAACTTTGTTCAAAAGCTGAAACAACATGTGCCTAGAAAGGAATTTTTTTGAAAAAATAAAAATCAATAAATAATCATTGAAAAAGAGAAAACAATTAGTTTTGAAAATACTACTGATATCGGTAATTAAGTAACATTAAAACGATGATAATCTTTGTCAACGGATTTGAAAACTCCGCCTGAAGACGTTCTAAGGTTACTGCCGACACTAATTCCGGATAAAGGAAGAGTGTTTGGCAGCATGGGGCATAAGTGACCCCATCCTGTAGAAATTAAAACTCGCTATGAAAAAACACGCTAACCAGAAAACATAATTCTCTGATCAGTGACCTATGCTCTCATTAGGTGGTAACAGGCTTAAGTAAGTTAGAAAGTTATGCATTTGAAGGCCAAGTGCACAGGAAAAGAATTGAAGGGTGTCGAGAATAGGAGTTGGAAATGAAAAGGTTGATGTGTAGTTTAGTACTTACTTATCAGTTTCATGGTGTTTTTATGAGTTTTTTTAACGAAAAAATAGATGGATTATTTGTATTATAGTTTCAACGTTTGAAGACACTAGTCATTCTCATTTGGCGCACACACAGCACATATTCAAGAATCATAGTCTATAAATGATAAGAGTAGAAGGCATACTTTATATCCTGAAGTTTGAGTGTATGACTGACAGTGAACGTTGAAACTAAAGCTGTGGGGTTAGAGATTCAGTTTGAATACCAACAGTGAAATATAGCATCAGTCAGTCAGTAGTCATGTACAACGTAGAACTCTACGTACTTACCTACGTACTTCAGATCAAGTTGCCACACAAAATGAGTAAAGCGAGAACGAATGGTCAGTTCAGATCCTATAGTTAGATAGTATGAGTATTTGAGGCAATGGAGAAGATTAGGGTTCAAAGAAGTATAATCCAGTGAAGTAAATTTTAAAACAAAAGAAGACGGTCATTAGGAATTCAGGATATTAGAATTTGACAGAACACAAAGAGTGGATACGCGCCTGCGTCATTGCAAACGATTTCGAACCATGTCATTTAAAATATCTATCTGTTAAGGATGTTAGATCCCTAGGAACTCGCTTGATAAATGTCTTAATTTTGCATTTTATTCATAGGCTACTCAATTGACCTTGAGATCACATTTCCCACCAGGAAAATCCTTCGCTGTGATTGGTAACTGTGTTATTTTAGTGTGTTATTTTGGTGACTCTCCCAAGGACGTTTCTATGATGGATAAATAAACGCGATTCGTGTGCTTGAATTCATTGCGTTTGCTGGGTGTTTTCAGAGTACACTTATACGACTTACCAAGACTTTTTCGCTAGTTCCTTTTTGGGTCAACGGATCAGAGTAACCTACCTGGACGCTGGTTCATTGTCTCGTTCTCGTTTATCGACTAAGCTGAACCCGTAATAGTTTCAATCATAACACTATTACCGGTTATGACTGCAAACCTCAACCAGGTATTCTACACCTACCGACATGGCTCAGTTCAGTTGTCAGTGGCTTCGTAGATTTCTGCCATGTTTTGGTTTGGCCAGCCCTAACTTTCTTCCAGCCTACTCCTACATTACAAAACATCACTCATCGAGGTAGTCGATGGTTGGGCATGTTGCGACACATATCCGGACCACCTGAACTGATCAAGTTTCAATACTTCATCTATTGATCTGCCATCCTTACCTAATACTCATTTCCTAACAACAGCATTGCTTACGCAGTTGTCCCACGATATACGAGCAATGCTTCGAAGACATCATCTATAACCGAATACTAATAACCTATGTATAGAATCTAATTTTAGTGTCTATCTTTTACACCCATAAAGTTCGGCTACCGGTTTTTTTCACCACAATTAAGCCTACTGCCTTTTTTTTTAAAAGTAGTCTCTGATGTAAGCGTTTAAATTTCACAACTTTACATCATTAATATAACTTCCAGAGAATAAAATTTTTTTTCATTCATAAAAATGTTTTATGACATAATCAGTAAAAATTTCGTTTAATATTTTTAGAAAAACCAAAATGGTTTGACAAATATATATATATATATATATATATATATATCTATATATAATATACACCTAATCCCTGTCGCTCGCTCGCTCAGTTTCACTCTCATACCTACCTACCTTGCATATACATTTGATTTATGCCTAAAATGGTCTCTTTTTCAACTGATTTCTGTAACGCACACACACACACACAAAAAACAAGAAGTGTACTTGGGTTTTCTATTTTTCTACAAATCACTGGTTAGTTTTTTTTTTATGGTAGGAAAAAACTGTCACTGCATTTTACGGATCGGTAGTTTCATTTTGGTAAATGGTTTTTTATTTGACTAAAAATTACATTTGTCTACTGTGAACAGTAAAGTTGTGGGACAAATGGAGTGAAGTTGAAGTGTTCATTTAAATCGGTGAATTGTATTCATCGATGACCGAATTTTCGAAAGTTATGGAGAATTGGCGGATCATGGCTTTTCACCAGAATAAAGGCTCTTTAAAACCCAGGAGTGTGAGGCTTTTTTGGTGAGCACCTCATTAATAGAACCATTGGATCAGAGTCTAATGAAAGGCATAATTCTAAAGTCAGTCAGTCAGTAAATCAATCAGTTTATGGTATTGTAGTCAAGGAGAACACAGGTGGGGCAATTGAATTGTATTTAACGGAAATTACAGAGTTATTCAGTAAAATAGGAAAACCATATCGTAAATCGCTACATTGCAAAATATCAGTCCATCATGTCGAACTGGACTGTTCCTGTTGCAAAACATCAATCCATTGTCACTATTCATCCGTTTCATACACAAATTCCATTGTTTTCTAACTCTTCCTTTCTTGATCTTCCTCCATCTTCTGCTGCCAGACATTACGTTTACACTCACGTCATATACTACTTGTAAGTAGCGCGCACCACAGTGGGACAAATGGTGTAAGTTGAAGTGATCATTTAAATCGGTGAATCGTAATAATCGCTGACTGGATCTCAGTTAGTAGTGAATGAGTTTCAAAAGTCATGGAGAATCAGTGGATCATGGCTTTTCACCAGAATAGGGCTGTTTAAAACCCAGGAGTGTGAGGTTTTGTGAGGAGCACCTCATTAATAGAACCATTTGGATCAGTGTCTAATGAACGGCATAATTCTAAAGTCAGTCAGTCAGTCAATCAGTTTGTGGTATGACACCATGATCATCTGATTTCGACGGTGTGTGTGTGTGTCCGTGTGTGTAGATTCTATCGGGTATTAGTACTTCTCATCACTTTAACTCTAGTGACAGTAAGGGTTGGATTTTGAACAAATGGAGTAAATTGAAGTGATCATTTAAACTGTGAATCATATTCATCGCTGACTGGATTTCAGTTAGTACTGAATGAGTTTCGAAAGTTATGGTGTGCTGGATAAGTGTCTTTATCTTAGAATAAGGCTCGTTAACAGCAATCAGCGCTACGAACTGACTAGGCAACTAACTGAGGATCAGAGTTTAATGGGCGGCATAATTCTAAAGTTAGTCAGTCAGTCAGTCAGTCAATCAGTTTGTGGTATGACACCATGATCACCAAATCTTGTCAGTATGTATAGATTCTATCGGGTACAAGTACTTCTTATCACTTTAAATCTAGTGATACCAGTCAGTTAACTGCATAAAACCAAATGTTCTACGTTTTTATTTTCGCATGCTGGATAAGGAGTCTCATTGTAATAACAAAATAGCTATCCAATACTTCTAGGCGTTTATTTATGACTTAGTTAAGAGATTAGTTCATGAGTTAAACTGTAAATGTGCGATAATTTTATTCAAGGAGTTTTGGAATCATTCACCAAACGACATAGAATAATTTAAGTTCTGATTAGCATCATGCTTATTATTGTTGGCCAGTCTTATGGAACTTATCAGTATCGAATTGACAGGCAGTATTCGCTGCTTAAACAAGTTCCATAAGCTGTTTTGGTTATCTGGCGAATGGATTTGATTTTGACCAATTTGGTCTCGTGTGCTGTTACGAGTATGAGGGCGGTTGTCACTTCCCAGCTGCCCACACTGGAAGGTTGTTTCTTGAGGGACCTGAAAAGGAAGGTCGACTAGTGTTGGTCTTAGAGACCTGTGAGCGTGACCACAAAGACCCCAAAGGACAACTGCTTGAGGCGTCACGCACGGCCTTTTTATGAGAGGTTTTTAGAGTATTAGCTCTGTTCTTGTTTAAAAGCCCTTACTGGGCACCCTTACCCAAGGAGACGGGAATCCGTGAGGTGTGACATTCTTTGAGTCGATCTTTTCTAACCCCTTCCTTCCATTTGAGAAGGCAGCATCGCTGCAGATGCTGGTTGTTTGAGAAAAACGCCTTACTGCTGTCACACCTCTCTACAGTCAGGCAGTACGACTTCGCCCTCAGGCCTTGGATAGCTCTGCTTTTAGTCTCATCGTTCTCCAATCGACCTGCCTGGCATGGTAGAACCTTCAGGAACATATGTTCCAACCAGTATAGCTCGGTTTGGTCATGACGATAGGCAAGCCCGACCACCACGTCAAGGTAACAGCTACATCTCTGTGCTGACGTGGTATGGCAACCTGAACTGATGTACTTATGTACGAAGTTCTGCGTTGTATCTGTCTGTCTGTCTATCTGGCGAATAGCAAAAACCCTAGGCTAGTCTAATTTTTATGAGTCATTTTGGTCATACCTCAAGGACAGTGAACTTTTCATAGTTATACCGGATTATTTTATTGACAGGATCAATGTCAGATAGATTGGTAATAACTTGAGGTAAATCTGTCTACAAACCAAATTCCAGCAGACAAAGAAATCAGGCAGAAGCGCCCGAGCTGGTGGCTAGGATACAGATTGAGTAAAGCACCCAACTGCGTCACAGTACAAGCCCTCACTTAGAATCTCCAAGGATAAAGGAAAAGGACAAGGCCAAAGAACACATTACGCAGAGAAAAAGTGAAAGATATGAGAAGAATGAACAAAAATTGAACAGAACTGGAAAAGGGAGTCCTAAGACAGAGTTGGTTGAAGAGTGCTGGTCGGCGGC